TTCGAATTACTTGTAATTCCTCACAAGGACTTTGAAATAAAATGTGTATTTCAATGTATCGTTTTGCTTCCTAAGAGGAAGAAAAAGAAGCTAACGTCATATTACTGACGTTTATTTCTATATGCAAGTTGGAATACAGAGCTCGCTTGGTCGAAACATTTGGATTGCTTTTAACTAATTGTGTTCTGTCTATGTTTAAGATTATAAATAATCATAGCTCTACAAACATTGATAAAGACAATAAGCAAGCAAAGCTGTTCAAACACTGATGAAGATTGTAAGTAAACTTAATTGTACATAGATTGATGAAGACTATAAGCAGGCTTAGCTGTTAGAAATTAATGAGGGCTCTAAGCAAGCTTAGTTGTAAAAACTAATGAGGGCTCTAAGCAAGCTCAGTTGTAAAACTAATGAGGACTATAACCAATTTTATAACTTGTATCTAATTAGTCTGTTTATATTTATATGATATATATATTTTATCAATTTTTAAGAAACTCTCTGGTGTAAACATATATAAAAATAATCTATTTTCGGACAAGTTTTTAACTCTTCAGAAAACATATTATTTATATGTATGCGTATACCAGATAGCTCCTTAAAAGATCTTTGAAATTTATCCTTTAAAACTTGTAAATAACCAGGGCTGTTCAGACGTTATATTTATCATTGAGCTTAAGTTGTTTGTAATAATTTATTTGTGTATTTTACATTATTATATATGCAGGCAATTGGAGTTTTTTAAATATCATTTACAATTATTTCAGGTAATATGTTAATATTTTAACATTGAACAATATTATCCTAAGAAAATTACACACCTTGTTTAGATGAATCTAAAGTTATCCCTTTGAAATTACTGAAGTTTTTGGCTATGTCGTAACTATCAACTGGCCAATGAAGTTCGACCATGAGTCTGTAGATCCATACACCCAAAATTGCTCCAATATGTGGACCAATTACAGGTACCCAGAACCAGTTGTAATTTCGAAAGCTGGAAATTTAATTAAAATGTTTAAAGAAATGAGTGAAATAAATAAAAAAAATACAACACTTAAAAATTAAATAATTAGTAAAAAGTACTAATAACATATATAAATACAGTCTTAATTTTTTTTGTTCAGTATTGCCGTTATTTGTTTAAAAATCTCCAAACACTGTTCATTAGTAAAGCTAAACAAGTGTTGCTCATGTTATGAATTTAAAAAAAAACTTTCTTCCGCCTCATAGTTAATGTCAGTAAACGATATTTTGAGGTAAACTAACATTTGCAGCTTTAAAAACAAACTTCAAATAATGTAACAACTTTCTGAGATTAGATCATGACATCTAATGAGGAAAGCTTTCTCTACTTTTCTAGTTACTCATCCCACCATGATTTGAATATTTTATCAGTAGAAAGTTTTGTTGGAGTAAGGAGTTACTAACTACTAACAAATTAAGTAAAAGTAGGAGTTTCTAACTAATAACAAATACACAAAAATGAAGCAAAAGTAGGAGTTTCTAACTACTAACAAATATACAAAAATTAAGTAAAAGTAGGAGTTTCTAACTACTAACAAATATACAAAAATTAAGTAAAAGTAGGAGTTTCTAACTACTAACAAATATAAAAAAATTAAGTAAAAGTAGGAGTTTCTAACTACTGACAAATATACAAAAATTAAGTAAAAGTAGGAGTTACTAACTAATAACAAATATACAAACATTAAGTAAAAGTAGGAGTTTCTAACTAATAACAAATATACAAAAATTAAGTAAAAGTAGTAGTTTCTAACTACTAACCAATATACAAAAATTAAGTAAAAGTAGTAGTTTCTAACTACTAACCAATATACAAAAATTAAGTAAAAGTTTTCGTTATGAAAACTTAAATCCTCTCATGAAATATCTTTTACTTAATAAGAATTGATTTTTGAATTTTCATAATCTTGAATATTCTGAAATATAAGCTTATTTCAAATGTTTAAATCGTTAAATAATGGATTACATTGAATGCATACTTATGGACCTAAAACATAACACCTATTCGATATATTCATCTGAAAACAAAACTAAGTTTTGAACAAATCTTTTTAATCAGAGGTATTCAGAGAAAACCAGTGCTATCGATTTCAGTTAAGGGCAAAGAGAGAAAAGGAATTTTTGAAATAGTATCCATTTTCAATGGAGTTTACTTTTAACTCTCCAATAAAATTCGTCGCACATGTGAAATATAAATGCTAAATGTTGTGAATGATAATGTTTACATTTTGTCTAAAGAAATTTCTGATGGGAGTTATAAATACACAATTTATCTTCTTTTATAATTTTACTTTATTATCACTATAATTTAATATTTTTGTGTTAAACCTGATTTATGACATATATTAGTTTTCATTTCTCTCTCTCTTATATATATGTATATAGGAGTACCTCTCTCATCTTTACCTGAAAACATCAACACCCCATCCAGCCATAGCCGTAAATACCCTGGGACTAAGGTCTCTAGCGGGGTTTAGCGACGCCTGGCAGTTAAATCCAAAACAACAGATTATTGCAGTGAGAGAGAGTCCAATCAACAAAGGCTGAAGGCCTTGAGCTATGTTCATATTCTTGTCATCGATAATAGCACTGATTGCTATCATGAGCAAAAAAGTTCCCAAAACCTGTAAAATATTGAAAACATGTTAATTATTAACCAAAGTTATGCTTTTAATTGTAAAAAAAACGACTTAAGAATCAGTGTATGTATGGATTCAATCTTGAGCTTGTAAACATGCCAAATTTAATGTGTTAAACATCAATACAAACACTGACAATCCAAACAAAAATTCAAATTTTAAAATGCTTCAAGGTATTTCAGGTCGCATATCTATTTTTACAAATACTAAATAGTGTTTCAGGTCTTATAGCTCCATATTTAAAATACACCTGTACAACAAAGGCGAATCAGTTTGATTTTAACAATAAATTAATTTAAAACTCTTGTAATTTTAAGAGATATATTTTTAGGGTAATAAGTGAAACTCATTTCATGAAGAATATTTCTTAGAAAACTTAATCCATGCAACATTGTTACTCTGTCTATTTGACTGGGAGTTTTATATTTAAAAGTGTGTATGTAAAGGTTATAATAAATAATTTTTTTTTTTATTGATGTCACTGAGAAACAATGTTGAATCAAACTCTATAGTTGGGCATCAGTACTTATTGGAGTTTGTTCGTGAAAAGTACAACCCCAATGAAACAGAAGCTCCCTACATCTCATTGACCATGAGAAAAGCATGGTTGTTTGGGAAACAATCCAGTAACTTTCATAATTTAACCTTGAATCCCTTTAGAATATTCAACACTGTATAAAGCGTCAACCTGCCAAGATTGTTTGAGATTGACTCAATAGGGTGGGAGTAATTAACCAATACATTTTACAAAACATAAATAGGGTTAAGTTCAATTTTGAACCCTTAGGACATTCCCCATAGTTCATAGTGTTTACATACAAATTTTGGTTTAGATTGGCCCAATGGGCTCGGAGGAGTTAGGGTACAAACAAACACACAGAATGCCCTACATCTTTATTATTCTAATTAAACACTAAATCTTTATCAAGCTTTGTTTGCTTACTCGATTTTATTTTCCAATAAAATTTGTATATCTAAATCTATTAAACAATGGTCAATGTACAATATAGTTCATCATCATTGAAGACAGTAAACAATATTTTGATTATTTTACACATAACAATGCTCTATTTCCCAGTCTATATTGTTATTCTATTGTTGTTTTTACACAACTAAATAATTTTAATGATCGATATTGTATCAACTCATTTCCGAAGAGTGCTAACCTCTAGTTTAATGACTAACCAGCCCGTTTAATATTTTTATTAAGCTCTAAACTTAACCCGTGTTAACTTATAGTGCATGACCCAATCCAAATCCTAACTCTGACAACCACTAATTATACTAGTCAGTCTAACAATCGAGCGTGGGATTTATGTGCAATCCTGTACTTGTGCGTGGTTTAGTGGTGAGTTGTTATAACCTATTAACGTTTTCATGCTTCTCAACAAAGAAATACTAACCACAAAATCTTTTTACTTTTTCTTGTAGTGTTTAAATGTGTCAGTTACGAACTTGGCTAATTTAAAAATTGTTGCTGAACATTTGTGCTCATGAAACATTTATCAATCTAGTCCTCTGTTGGTCTATATTAGAATGTGTTTTCTTTCAGTTTTTCTGTTATTTTCAAAGTTCGAAAAATGCCACTAAACGCTTTTGTTTTTTATGTAGACTGATTCAGACAGTTGTTATGAAATATATATCTAAGCCAAACTAGTTATCTAAGTATAACTCTTTTGGTCCCATGGAAAGCGAAGAACAGTATTCTCCTGTTGTTTGCCTGACTTTTGATAATAAAGAGGATTATATATTTCTGCCCCAGAAACCTCCATATATTAAACACGTTCGCCTAATAACTGTCAACCAGGAAACTAAAGTAAGACTCTCTGCCTTTAGTCTTTTGTATCATTTTTTTAATGTGTGACCTCATATATATTTACGTTCATTTCAATCTCACGTTACATGACATTCACAAGTTAAACCTTTTCACCACGTGGCCTCTGATGGTCTAAAATGTATTTTATCTTTAAACTCAACATTTCATCAAAATTCGTGCACTTAGTTCAGTCAATTCCAATTACAAAACGAAAAACCTTTAGGCATATTTGGATGTTAGCCTTTGGGGCCTAACTTGGGGTTTAAAGTCGTCAATGAATAAAACATTACAGAATTAGGCTTAGTAACTGGGGGTTTAAAGGTGTCAATGAACAAAATGTTATAATATTAAGCCTACAAAGTTTAAGCTATACAAAAGTGTGTCTAGCTCGAAAGCTCTTGTTCATTGTTCCAAATGTTGTTTTATTTGTAAAACCAATTATTTCATTATTAGAAATGGTATCATAACGTCTTAGCAGCGTTTTGTTTTTTTAAATAATAGTAATGATGCAAGACTGAGACTATTAACTGCACAGGTATGACATTTTTATATAAATGAAGTTTTTTGGGATCATCAGTGACTCTAGAATACTTATACAGAACTTTGGACAATGAATAACCGGAGCAACAACAATAACTCCTCATTTTACGAATATAGTTTTTAGTTGTAAATGCGTTTGTTCAAATAGCAAATAAGTTTATAAGATGGAAAAAACTAAACGAGATCACAATTACAACTCACCTGATCAAACAAACCGTTTCTAGTATTTACAAATTCCTGAGGATAAGTGGCGAAAATGTGAGCTGTAGCATTCTGTCCTGTTACACTGCGATATCCACCATCAAAGTTTTCAAATGCACCTATAAATTCAGAGATTTTTTATGAATACGCTGTCAATCACTGAGCATGCGCAATTGATATCGTTTATTTCAAAACTATTGATTTCGCTCCTTTCTACCTTAGAATTGAGTACATTCTGGCAAACATGCTATTTTACAACTTTGTTTTTTTATTTGTTGTCAAAGTTTTCCTTTCGTAGATTTGTTTTGAATTTCGCGCAAAGCTACACGAGGGCTATCTGCGTTAGCCGTCCCTAATTTAGCAGTGAAAGGGAAGGCAGCTAGTCATCACCACCCACCGCCAACTCTTGGGCTACTCTTTATCAACGATTGTTTGTTTTTGAATTTCGCGCAAAGCTACACGAGGGCTATCTGCGCTAGCCGTCCCTAATTTGGCAGTGTAAGATTAGAGGGAAGGCAGCTACTCATCACCACCCACCGCCAACTCTTGGGCTACTCTTTTACCAACGAATAGTGTGATTGACCGTCACATTATAACGTCCTCACCACTGAAAGGGCGAGCATGTTTGGTGTGACGGGGATTCGAACCCGCGACCCTCAGATTGCGAGTTGAGCGCCCTAACCTCCTGGCCATGCCGGGCCGTTTTCCTTTCATTCCTGGAATGAAACAATATTAATTCATGTACACGTTCTAAGTGCAATATACCGGTTCTGCTCTACACGTTACCATGGATTTTGTAACGTATCAAGGTTTAAACAGTTTTCAGATACTTTAATAATTCTACAGAGCATCTTGAAAATCACATGTTATTTCAGATGGAAGTGGCAAAGTGGATATATGGTGCGAAAGTTTTAATAAACAAGAAGTGGGCCAGATATTCAATGACTCACTTCTAAATGCAGTTAGCTGTACTCGAGCACTGAGAAAACTGAAAACTAGTTTCTGATCTTGTATAACGTGATTGACTCGAACACTTACTTTTGTATCACAGTGTGAGATTATATTTCAACATATTTACTAATAAAAGAGAGAGAAAACTAATGCTTGAGTTTCTTTCTCTGACAAGCAACCTTCAATGATATCCTATGCTAGTTTTCTTCACATCATGTTTTCTAAAGATATAACATAACTGGTTTCTACATAGCTAGGAATCTAGCTTTTGTCTCCGGTCTAAAACTTATTTGTTTATACGAAAAAGTCGTGTAGTTTTCATCACGAAATTTAGTTGTTCCCACCATTTTGTTCGCTTGCGTGAGTTTCATCATGACAGTTGCCGTGAGAAACTGCTTTAAACATTCCTATATCGCAACAACAAGTGAATAAATCCGTGTTAATGGAACTAATAAAAGCTTTAAAAGTTCTTATATCATGTTATAAGACCAATGTTTTAATGACTTAGTGGCCTAGATATTTAAAACGGCTTATCTGACGAAGTCAACATCACACTGAAGAAGCTGATTGAGACATATTATAAACCAATAACAGCTGTAGTGTGTGAAATGTAGTGTGCGAAAAGAAGATAACGACAGAACATGCCATAGTAACCCCCACCTAGAGGTATTGCTTTTGTTTCCTCGAATGCCGTTGTGTACGATCCTAATTTCTATAATGTAAAATAACCGACAAAACAAACACATTTCGCGCTATTTAACGATTTACTCCTTTATCATGCATTATAAATAAATAGGATTCACTGCGAAATGTAGATTCTGTTTACAAAACAATCCATCAATAAAAACTCCAGAATAATTAGCAAGCTTTTTAAATTTGTACAAATTATATAACGAAGCAAATTGTTAACATGTTAGAAATTATTAAAAGCAAAGTTATTTGATGTTGTCTAACTGTTTAAAAACTGGCAAATGCTATAAATTTTAGCCATAATTTGTTAATAAAAAAAATGTACCATGAAGAGGAGCTACGAAGCATACCTGGAACATTATAGCTTTGTTTATTTGTTTTCCATGAACAAACAGTGCTTTGGGTTTTAGTTTTGTTTCTACGTTAATATATTTGAAAAAGACCGAATTAAAACTTCAAAGGAAAACTTCGACATAATATTATTTCATCATTTACACTATATATATCTATATATATATATATATAATTTTTATGCTGCAATCGTACAGAATTCTGATGCGAATATTCGAGTGTAAACGTGACTCATACAACTCTACTTTGATCCTTACAGCTGTTGTGATCGTCATGTCAGGTAAAAAATTAGCTGAAGGACCATACCACGAACCTAACATGACGTTTGTATCTTTTAAAATGCTAACAATTTGTTGCATGGTAATGAGCAACTAAATTGTAAACTAATATATATGTATGTGTGTGTTTGTTTGTCGCATGTGGTAATGAGCAACTAAATGATAAACTAATATATATGTGTGTGTGTGTGTATGTGTTTGTTGTTGTGGTAACAAGCAACTAAATGGTAAACTAATATATATATATATGGGATTGTGTTTGTTTGTCGCATGTGGTAATAAGCGACTACATGGTAAACTAATATATATATATATGGGATTGTGTTTGTTTGTCGCATGTGGTAATAAGCGACTAAATGGTAAACTAATATATATATATATATGTGTGTGAGTGTGCTTATTTTCTCATGCAAGAAAACGAAAGTAAAATCAACTTTAATGCAATTATATTTTATTTACAATTTGGCAGCATTGAATTTTAGTAGAGTTTTGGACGAGAACGTTTTTCAACTGTATAAATGAATACTTTACGTTTACACTTAATGTGCAATAATATCAACTGGAACTCAGCATCTTGAAGTGTATCATTATTAAAATTGAATAGAACGCTCTTACACTGATGTTTTAAGTTTCTCTGGCATTTTTCTTTTGTATGACACGTAGAAATCATGTTAATTACACATTGTATGACACGTAGAAATCATGTTAATTACACATTGTATGATACGTAGAAATCATGTTAATTACACATTTTCTAACGAAATGGGCCACAGCCTAAGAACTTATGTTTCAATACATCTTACAACTCACCTTCATAGACATGGGCCACAGCCTAAGAACTTATGTTTCAATACATCTTACAACTCACCTTCATAGACAAAAAACACCAGTGCTGCTGCAACGAAACCCCCAAGGTATTGAGAGGCTATAAAAGCTGGAATCTTTCTCCACTTGAACTTTCCTACTGTTGCAAAGGCTAGAGTAATCGCTGGGTTCAGGTGGCCACCTGAAAAAAATAAGTAAGCACCAGTTTTGAATGTGTGATTTTTATATGCGATTTTATGTGTGATTTTTATATGTGATTTTTATATATGCGATTTTTATGTGTTATTTTTATGATTATTTAGTTAAATTTAATGGACAGAAATATTTTTTAAAAAGTTAAATCCTTTGAGAAGAATTTTAATAGAACATTTCTAGTGACATCACAAGTGCATTTCACTATTTTGCTCATGGATCTATAGTTTTGTTGTATTTGCTAAAGTTTAAAAACATTAGTAACTGTCATAGATAGGTAGGGTAAACGTTAGATAAAACTAAGCTTTAATCTAAATATTATATATGTATATTGAGACATAAGAACAAGATAGTTTCTTCCAACTTTGTTTTCAAGTTTCTCAGTCACGATTTAAACAATCGTCTTTGAGTGTTCTTGTATAAGTGAAAGTTGGAACAGATCAATACGCCTACGGCAATATCATTGCAATATGTTTTGTTTTTACTTTCTTTACAGTGTCATTTTATTTTCCATTTTGTGTTTATATTTTGACTTGTCCAATATTTTATTATTCCTTTTATTTGAAGTTGAAGCAGCTTCTCATTTTAAACTGTGGATACTGCAAGCTTGATCCAAAATAAATCGTTATGATATAATCAATAACTTCTGATCAAAGCAATCTATCAACACAGATCAGAAACTAGAATTTATCCCAAAAGTTAAACTAACTAACTTAATACAACGGCTTAACCAGGAGTAGGGAATGCCATAATCGACAACTTATAATAATTACAATGCATTGGTTCATATGTTGTGTACTCTCGCTATTATCGATATTTTCTGCCGTAATCCCAATCGTAACGCTAGATATTTATATGAATGCTTCAAAATTGTTTCTATAGATACATAGCGTTTAGTATTAAGGTATTTGACATGTTATGACATGATTGTGATTATATCACTGGTATCACAGTTATGATACCACTACAGAATGAACTAATAGAATGTATAGAGTTAGTTCTAATATTTATATATAAAAGTCTGGACGTACCGTGTTTGCAATGTAAAAATAATTGTATACATATATATAATAATAAACGTGTTCTCTTCGATTTCATATAGCGCTTACACGTAGTTGGAAACCCCACAGCGTATTAAATAATACTGGATAATTGTTACAACTTACTCCATCTATTCGTTGCGTATTTTAGTCTTCCAAGCCTTATTACTTACCAGATACTCCTCCCGACACGGCGATACCAATCATTAAACCTAATCCCCATCCAAGAGGCACAGCCACTGCGCCAATTGATCCAATTTTGCCTAGAACAGCTACAGCCAGTATAGAGTCTCCAAATAGCTGCAAATATAAAAATAAATATTATACATATTGTTATTTTAATAAGTGAAAAAACAAAAAAAATTAAATCATTCGCTTGATTTAACTGATGCAACACCTCCATTTTGTGACCTGATTCAAATGTTTGAGAACGTTTTACGTCAAAGTCTGTCGTGTGTAGGTCACAAGTACATTGAAATCATCAGTTTCGGTTCACTGAGTATATTACTAAGCCTAAAGGTGAAAGCAGTCAAATCGAGAATAGGGACAGATAACAAGAGTCAGCAAACATAGTACTGAATAATAGTATGTATGTGTGTGTGTGTTAGAGTTTTATAGGCTAATATGTGTATTGTTCGCACATCAGTTGCTAAGAAACAGATATAGGATATTGTTAATTTTTGTTAGGTAATTATATAACTCCCAAGGTAATGGAGATTCGTTTCCTGTGTAGAAAAAAATTAAAAATAAATTTTATAATATTCCACGCGCTAAGGACAGTTATTTTACGTGGTAGTTTCTGAGCAAGTTCTACACTTCAGTCTTTACCATACCACCCACAAAAAATGTTACTACAATATACCATTGTGCTCTATAGCTTACCAAAATACATCACAATTTGAAATGCTTTCAAAAATTATAATATTGCTATTGAATTAATTTGTGTACCTAAAATCCCATACCATAGCACCCACAAAAACATTACTACAACATACCATTATGCTAGATAGCTTATATAAATACGTCACAGTTTGAAATGCTTTCAAAATTTATAACATTTTATAGAATTAATTTGTGTTCCTAAAACACTATTTATAACTGTTTTATACATAATAATGTGTTTTCTCTGCTAAAAAAGTTTAATATAAACAACTAAATAAACACAAGTTACGTTTCTTTGTTTGTAATTAAGCACAAAGCTACACAATGGGCTATCTGCGCTCTGAGCACCATGGGTATCGAAACCCGGATTCTAGCGTTGTAAGTCCGCAAACATACCGCTGCGCCACTGGGAGGCCACAAGTTACGTTACTACCTTTTATCCAAATGTTAGTTTTTAACACAAATCACTTAAATTATGTAATGTAAGTGCAAGTAATAAAAGTGCCCACAATGTTTTTTGTGAATACAATTTATTTTCTAAAATAACTAAAAATACGCCATAAATATCATTATTCCTTTTTATATATAAGTATCCAACATGAGACTTTTAGTACAAAATTCACTGTATTTTTAAAGTTGACACACACGACGATATTTTAAAAACTTACAAAAACTACAAATATCCAATAAGATCAAGTATATAGAGCCTGGTTGTTAGGGTGACTAACTATGAATTCGAAGGTCCATGGTTTGTGTCCCGTTGACAAAAAACCGTGTTCCAAACTTTGAGGCTGTGGGTGCGTTATAACAGAGAGGGTAAAATCACACTATTCGATTAGATTAGCCCAAGAGCTGTTGACTATATGCTTTCCCTCTAGTCTATCAGTTCAAAATTAGGGACAGCTGTGTAGTTTCAAATGAATGTCCAAAACAACAAACAATAGGAAGATGAAAAGTACAGAATTACAAAGATCACTTACAAAGCTTCTTAGATTACGTATAAAAGTATAACATTTTAAGCAGCTAAAACATGATAGATTTCTGTCATAACGCATCGCTAGCTAGCGGAAAGTCTTATTTTATTTAATTTTTTTATAGTTAAGCACAAAGCTTCACGAGTATCGAAACCCGGTTATACGTCCGCAGTGCTGCTGTGCAACTGGGGGCGGCGAGTTTTAATCACTTACTTTGGAGTTTCATATAGCCATATTTTATGAATATAATTTATTAAAATAGCCACACAAAGTTTTTGCATGTATTTCAGTGGTGATGATTTAATCTGTACTGAAAATATTCAATCTGGGAGAACATTAGACTTTTCTACTATTCCCTTAAAAATCAATAAAATCGATATTCCTAATTATACATTGCATTTTTTGTTACTGTCACTTATCGAACGTAATTATTTGTTTGAAATATGTGCTCTCATTTTGTAAATAGCAATGTAAAGTAGCTTAGAATTTTTTATATGTTTTATATATTCCTTTTACTACAATTATAATTGGTTAACTACCCTTTCCATCATTTGATTTATGTTTCATATTCTCATTAATTTGCTTGAAAAGGAGCACTTGACATTAGAAATCATTAGCTTGATTTTGTATAAAGATTGTGTGTGACTTGTGTTTCCTTATGACAGTAGTCTGATTTAGATTCCACACACACACAAACTAAAAAAGAACGGAGTAGAAGTCGAAAGTGAAACTGATTAGTACAAAAAAAGGTGCTATATTCTTACATCAACCTGTTCTGCAACAACATTTGTAGGTTTATGACCGCTCCTTCAGGAAGTAGGGCAACGGCTCAGGGAACATGAACTCCTTTCACTTTTCAATTATTGTTATTAGAGTTGGACACATAGATGAGAATGAGACGTCAGCTATAGCAGTGTCTGTTTCAGAAACAAATTCCTTATTTGTTTAAATATTTAATCATTTCTCATGAATTAGATAGCAAGTAGAAGAGACCTATTGTATGAAACGCTTTCTTGGTACACCTGTTTGTAGCATGGCTGAAAATCCAGCCACCGTAAACTTGTTTTAGCTGCAATTATTGAAATGGAAACTGAAAGCGTTAAAATCGTTTTGTTATTGTTGTTGTTTTGGCTCAGTTTCAAAGTCCAATGAATATGGATTCACAACATTGTTTGTTTAGTTTAATATATGTTCTAATTCAATAGAATTTTTACCGCCTTAAATGAAGAAATAATAAGTGGCATTATACTTAACATTCGCAATAAAATATTCTAAGTTACAGATGTTTTTATTTTTCTTCATTCCTCTTACATAGTCCACGGTGAATTTCAGATCAAAGGCATCTTGAAATTTATTTTTTATCTGCTACACGTACCTGCTGCCTAGGAGACCTTGCGCTCAATACTATAATTCGTCAATTGAGCTTCACAAGTTAGCAGACAAACGTTTATTAATTCTTCAGATGTCAGTGTTTTCTAAACACCTGTTGTTGTTGTTTTCTTATAATAAAAATACAGTTTTCTCCCAAGTGAACTTGGAAAAGCTTTCAACTGTAATAATATTCTAATGCATGAACTTAGCTGAATGTTTATGTGTAACATGAAACTATTCTTAACTCAATATTCTTCTAGTGCATGTACTTAGCTGAATGTTTATGTGTAACATGAATCTATACTTAACTCAATACTCTTTTAATGCATGTACTTAGCTGAATGTTTATGTGTAACATGAATCTATACTTAATTGAATACTCTTCTAGTGTATGTACTTAGCTGAATGTTTATGTATAACATGAAGCTATACGTGCACTAGAAGAGTATTCAATTAAGTATAGATTCGTTTACACATAAACATTCAGCTAAGTACATACACTAGAAGAGTATTCAATTAAGTACTTAGCTGAATGTTTATGTGTAACACGAATCTATACTTAACTCAATACTCTTCTGGTGCATGTACTTAGGTGAATGTTTAGGTGTAACATGAAACTACACTTAACTCTAGCACTAATTAGCCTTCACATATTACAACATGTTTTAGTACACAATAACTATTTATCCAAAGATTATTTATCTATAGGTAGATTACCAAAGCGATCATGCGTTTCTTCTATTTGATATTTTGGATACAGTAGTCATCGAATATTAAAATATGATTTAATTCAAATTGTTTAGTCATTGATATTAACAAATACTTGACAAACTATGTTCTGCAATTTAAGATAAATTACTGCTTGTTGTGTTATTTTTTAACTTTTCTTATTCAAATTTAAATCAAGTAATGTCACTTATAAGAAAGGAACTAAGGTAATCCAACAAGTGATTGCAGAATTATTCGACAAACAAAAACACATAAAAATAATTCTAGCAAACAATAATTTGACTCCTTCCACTTCAGTGAAGAGTAGAAAATAATTAAGCCATTCATGTAAACGGAGAAAGAATAAGAGAGACTCGTTTTTAAAACTAATATGATTTTGTATTATAAATCATCACTGATATATCAGGTACTTTAGTATTACACATACTTCCACGATAACAACAGTTATCATTCGCATCAATTAGATATATTAACTAATGTGATGGTTCCAAATAGCTGATATCTGATTTCGCGATGAGTCTTTTGTCACTTGCACATGAATTCCGTTATCATCAAATAGGTGACGTACGCCTAATATTATTATAACCAAAAACATAGAATATATATATATCATTCTGAATATTGCTTTATACAATTGATATCTAAACACCTAAACAACATGTCAAGGAATATCGTGTAAAATCTACACAAAATGTTAAGATTATCACGTAGAACCTGAGCAAAATGTCAAGGAATATTGCAATCACTTAAATATCAATTTTAATTCCCCAAATTTTCTTAGATTTTGTAACGATAATCGAAAGTTACTTTCCGAAGAATACTTGGATTTAAGAGATAACTTGGAATATATATATATTCAATCAGCCTCAAATATTTTTAAACGTCAGTTTTACGGAAAGATTTTGTTTTGTTTTCCTAATATGTAGCATCGGTTGTTCTTTACCCATTCATTCTTCTTCTTTTTTTCATTTCCCGCAAAAGGATAAAAATAGATTTACCTAAAACTAAAATCTTTAAGCAAAATGTCGAATTGGGAACATATATGGGCGAATGAAACAATAGAATTTTTTAAAGTGATCACCAGGTGAGTCATACATTTACTGACAAGTCTGAGCTTATGTGATGTGAACTACTGTTAACCTTTATGATTGAGATTCTTTGTTTGTTTGTTCTTGTTCTCATTACTATATGCAAAAATACATTGAAATTCCATGTCATATTAAGCAGTTCCGGACTAAATGATTTTTAAATATTCGTCAGTTCGCTGGTGGCCCAGTGGCACAGCGGTATGTCTGCGGACTTACAACTCTAGAATCCGAGTTTCGATACCCGTGGTGGGCGGAG